TAAAGTTGTGTAATATTATCAGTCAATTATTAGATTTTTGTCATTGCAAGTAGTTCTAGGTTAGTGAATGTTTTAGTGGATTGCAGATATAGATAAAAGTAATTATAAAAACCACATGTCATTAAGTTTTAAAAACATAAAGAGGTAGTTTGAAGACGGTCACCTACATATGAGCATTGCTTCATTCTCAAATAGGTTTTTATTTGTTGACATGTTGGCTTTGCTGCATTGCTTATCTTAATTTGGACTGACATTCATGTTGTATTTGTTTGTACTAGATGTTGTGATTTTCACTATAACATACATTATCTAGTGAAATAACTAATTCCCATAAAATAAGATATGGTGATTAAATGTGCCTATTAATGTCAGTTTTGCCATTTTCACACACTGAACTGTGATACTAGTGACTAGTGAGGTGTATGCCTTTGTAAATCTGCGAACTCTTGGATGAAGTTCAAGTTTTAGGTCTGAAATCAGCATTTTTGCAGTTATTTTTAAGACTATTTAAAGAAATGTTAGGATTTAACTGAGGTTTCAGTTCCTCTTTTTGATTCCTTATAAAGCAGAGGTTGCCATCATCAAGCAGGGGGCGCAGCCATAGACTATAAAAACGTGGACGTAGTGTCCGTGACGTAACCCGTAGATTTCCGACGAGCGTTTTGAAGCCTAAAGTAGGCGGAGCGGGCCGTCGCCATCTTGGCAGCGCCGGATAATCGAAAATGGGCAAAGAGGCGGGAGCTGGCTGCTGAAGCCACGCCCACCTAGCTCGACGCCGGTGACAGCAGCGCCAATGCACCTGTCACTCAAGTGGCCACGCCCTTAATTATGCAGAACTTTAAGGCTTAATATAATTTAAACGGATGACTTATAAAAACATTCACCCCCTCACAGTTGTCATCAAGGGCAAAATTAGCTATATAGACCAAAACCACTTTTTGAACCAGGCTGTAAACATGTTTTTTTCTACTGTAAAGTTGGGCATTTTAACATGGGGAGTCTATGGGATTGACTCCCGTTTGCAGCCAGCCTCTAGCGGCCAGTTGATGAATTACAGTTTAAGTCACTTCCTTGTTGGCTTCACCAGAGAGCGAGTGGGAGGTTGTGCTCAGGCTCAGCGTATTTCAGATTGTGTGTTTTGGGGTCGTTTCTGGAAGTCATCGAGTGCGTTGTATTGTGATCGTGTCGTCAGTCGCGCGCCCCTGTGAGTGGGCCCCAGTGTACGTGCAGAATCAGTGGAGGCAGATAGAGGCGGCGCTGCTTACGTCTGCAGGGACGCCCCTGTGCGCGAGGAGCAGATACAGCGTGAGAACAATTAGACTTTCATTTAATCACAATAAACTAAGTAATCGGCACACTTGCATTACATCGGCGACCGTTGTATATCGCATGATTGACAAGACGAGGTGGGAACCGAATTTCTAGTTTGACTTGACGTTTTAAGTAAACCTAGATTAGATGGAAACGAAATGGCTTTTTGCATCTGTATTGTTGTATTACAAACAGTGAATTCTTAGTAAACACCAGTATGCGTGGCTATTACGTACACTAAACTAAAAGTACCATGGTGTTACTATTGGTTTTTTGACATGTATTAACTTGCATATCTTTTTGACATGCATTATGGTAGTACCATGGTATTTTTGAAATACCATGGTATTACAGTATTCTGATGTTGCTGTCCAATGCAACCACTGTACCTTGGTAGTGCCACAGTTATTGTGCATGTTATTGTGCTTTTTTAAGTCTCAGAGAGATTTGATAAAGTGTATTGTTAGTTTAAGTTGTTGTAATTGAAATGTCCAGATGTGGTCTTGTTCCTGTTCCTCTGGTTTATAATCCAGGTATGCAATCCAGAAAAAAACTGCATAATCCAGGCATGCAGTCAGGATCTGTGGAGAGACTGGGCTTTTGTTCTGTCCACTGCATGCAGATGTTGCTGTTTTTGTGCTCCTCAAAGATGTTTCTGAATTCTGTTTCTGGCTGTCATTACATAAAATGTTTATATTGTTGCGCCGTCAGCCAGTCATTAGGTTTTTTATTTATTTTTAGATTAAAAGGATAGCTGATCTAAGATGCAGCTTGAGAGCTGCACCAAACAGCTCTCCCTGTTGTTCTTCTAATAGGTGTGTACACTTTAGGGTTTTTTCCCCACTTTGCTGGGACAAGTTTAGTTTTTGTTTTGCACAAACTTTCCAGGAATCTTAAGAATGTCGCCCTGAGACGCTGTCAGCTGTATATTGTATGATACCTGACGTGTAGCTCTAAGTCTGGCAGGCACATATCATTACTGACACACTGAGACATTCGCAGGATGTCCGAGAGGCTTTGAGTTCACAGGAAAAAGGCCACAGCTGAAGTAGTCTGATACGGGTTTTATGCTACCAGTAAAAGTTTGCACTGTCAAACTCATTTCTAATGAGTATTTTCAACACCAGATTATAATAACCGTCACTAAAACTATGGAAAAACAAACAATGCATGTTATGTTTTATACCATATTTTATGAGATGTATTGTGGAATGATGTGCTTTGAACAGTATTGAGTTCACATAAATGCTGGAAGCAGAACGTTTTTCTTTCCCTGTA